ACCAACTCACTGATGAACGAGCCGGCAAAGGAGTTAGCAAAAGGGTTAGCAAAGGAGTTAAGGAGTTGACAGAAGAGTTAGCAAAAAGAGCTAACTCAGTACATAAACCCGAGCCCACCCCCAGCTTACGTACTGAGCATGACGTGAATGGAATGAAATACCCCTTCGGTCAGTTTGGGTGACCCATCTGAACTGGGTGTCCCCCCACACTGCCTGTAGTGAGAAAGCTGAGAACGCAGCTGTGGTATCAGAAGCTGAGAAAGACCTTGAATTTGGTGCAGACACTGCCCAGCACCAGCTAAAAAGACGCCTCATCAGTACTTTCTCAGGGTAAATCCAGGAACATGACTTCATACCAGCCACTGCGAAGAAAGTTAACTCTTTCCTGACTAAAACCAGCAGAGGGACGTAGCTGGTCCTTTAGCAGGCTACCCCTTTTAAACTGGTGTGCTTTGTACAGCCGTGCTGCCTTCCCTTTGCTGCTTGGATAGAGTAATTGCTCGGGCCTGCTGTTGATGCGCACGGCTGCCTGCTCTCGCTGTGGCAGGGTGATACTGATTTCTGTCTAATACATGAGATAATTCCAGGTCTATATGTTATAACTAGATGTCTTTTTAAAAAAATTTTTCCTAAATAGCGGCAATAATTCTATCTCAGAGGGTCAAAAATAATGACCTAGGCTGACTAGGTATTTTAAAAGCTAATTTAGGGGGAGAGCGAGGCATGAAAGAAATAGCATTAGGAAAAGGTCATTTAAGTGATAATCTTTATTGTACCTTTCAGAATTAGCTCCCCATTCACAGTTCTGAGCAGCATTTAATCATACCCGTTACTGTACTCCCTTAATCAAGTGGCAGTTTAAATGACTTGTGGTACAAAGAGTTTTCCACCATGGCTTTGCAAAGCTTTTTTTTTAAATTCTGCATGACAGTAGGTAAGTCCAGACAACTTTCTTGTGCAGGATGTCTGCCTCTGACTTTAAAATGATTTTTGTGATACCTAACAATCCTTTTGTTTTCACTTGGGAGTCCTCTAAATTTGGTACTCCTCTCCTCGTGCTATTCCCAAGAGGAAAACCATCTTTATAAACAACATCCAGCGATCCCTTCTGTTGCAGTACTAAAGGGGGACTTGCTCCTGTCCTTGCACCTGCTCCCTCCTCCTGTCCAACCCTCAACCTGCCCCTCCATCTCCCACCCACAGAAGGGTGGGACGTGGACAATCTAGCTTGCCTCTTGCTTCTCCAGAGGTTTCAGCCAGCCCCTTGGCAACAGGCTCCCCATCATCCTCTCATGACTAATAGCTGGTCGTTACTCTTCCAAGTAATTCCGTCACGTTTGAGGTGTTACTTGTTATGCCAGGAAGTCAGGCAGGCAATGGCATATCCTGCAGAGGAAGTCACTTGTACTGGGAAGGATGTAATGTGCTCGGGATGAGTGAATTATTTAAACAGATCTTGAAGAATGGCAGTGTGGTAAAACATCAGTTGTTAGCTGTTAAGGACAGCAAAGCTGAAGATTTCCTCTGTTACACGGTTGAAAAAAATGTAGTCAGATCTCTGTGTTTTAATTTCTTAAAAATACAACCTTTTCTTTCCAGAAATAATCAGAAGAAAAATATATTTACTTTACTTTGGTCATTTACTTTCTCCAACAATGAGATCATCAGCCAAGAAGCAAGGACGTTTCTTACGAGTGTGTCTGGAATATGTGCAAAACACACGTGCTATGTGGGACAAGTGGGGATAAGATGCTACCTCCTGGTTTTATTCTGGTACAACCCAATTGAAATCACTTGTTCAGTCACCCTCAGTGACTCGATCACTGCCTGGAGCTTTAATTCAGCCCAGTGCCACACTGAGTCCTTTGACACCTGATGTCCCGGCAGAGCCGCTGTCGAGGTTTGCATGTGCGATGGGGTGCAGCCCTCTCCCCATCTGACACTTTATTCTTTGATCTTCTCAGCTGGTGACGGGAGTATGGGAAGGAGGATACAATTTCTTCTGTCAGGATACGCACAGTGGAGGAGAAGCTGATATGAAGGTAACGTGTTCGAGACTTACAGTTAGAAACATTTCAAATTGTCTGCTTGTGTGTAAGTGGAGAGCAGAACAGTATTGATTATGTGGATTTTATTAAAATTATATGCTATTTTTCCCTCCTTTTACAATAGAATGGACAATGCCTTGTCAAACATAATAGTTACTCTACAATATATTGATGGTTGGTATTTTGGTGAGCGATTATCCTGGAGAAGAGGAGGCTGAGGGGAGACCTTATCGCCCTCTGCAACTGCCTGACAGGAGGCTGCAGAGAGGTGGGTGTTGGTCTCTGTTCCCAAGTGCCAAGTGATAGGACAAGGGGAAATGGCCAAGGGAGGTTCAGATTGGATATTAGGAAAAATTTCTTCACGGAAAGAGTTGTCAGACATTGGAATGGGCTGCACAGGGAAGTGGTTGAGTCACCATCCCTGGAGGTGTTTATGTGGAGTTGATGTGGTGCTTAGGGACATTGTTTAGGGTAGACTTGGCAGTGCTAGGTTGACGGTTGGACTCAATGATCCTAAAGGTTTTTTCCAACCAGAACAATTCTATGATTCTATGATCTGCAAATGTTCAAATGTTCACAGGTCAGAAAACAAGGACTCAGTCTTCAGGCTCTATCCAACTACTGTGTGTTGTGACTCTCCTCCTCTTTCTGAGATGTGATGATTTCATCCTGTTCTGATCTCTCCTTCACAGAGAGCATTGCAGGACCAACTCTGGTTAAATATTCTCTTGTTTCTCCCAGGGCACCGCGGGTGCGCAGCAATAGCCTCATAAAACAGTACTTGTCAGTACTGTTTTCAGTAAAAACTTGTCAGTACCTGTTTTCAGCTGTAGCTATGGGTTTGTACCTAAATCTCCTATGGTGAGACCTGAGGCTGAAGCATTACAGAAAGTCCCACAGTGTCTTCAATCCCAGTAACCGAGGACAACATCTGGATTTTAATTACTTAGAGAGGAAAAGGGTTGAAAACCACCACAATGCAATGCTTCTAAAACTTGTTTCCTGCTTTCTAGATCATACGTGTCCTCTGGTGGTACTATTTCTCCAAACTCATTGAGTTCATGGATACCTTCTTTTTCATTTTGCGGAAAAATAATCATCAGATCACTGTTCTGCACGTCTACCACCATGCAACGATGCTGAACATCTGGTGGTTTGTTATGAACTGGGTGCCTTGTGGTCACTGTAAGTACTGGGTTATGATGGGGAACATTTGCAACAAGGGCCTCGCTTTGGTTTTCTTTGGGTGCAACCAAACATCTCTGGTACCTTCAGCTGCAGGATTTGTTCTGTCCCATATTAAGCTGTTTTGCTGAATTGCAGCTGTTGCAGGATTAAGCTGCCTGCAGAGCCTCTAGAAGAGGCATGCTGGTGTGGTTTGCAGAATTTGCCTGGCAGTGTGGCATTGTTTTTCAGCTGCAGTAGTCCAGGTCTGATACCCATCAACCTTGTTTACTCTTTTTTTTGGTGGTGATTGCAGTCCCTGTAATGAAACCGTACTCTGTTCCAAGACAGGACCAGAAGCTTGTTTCAGCTGCAAGATGGCTAATAGCAGCTCTTGTCCTTGTATCTGTCAAGTTCACTTGAGATGTTACTTTCTTAATTTAATCTCATTATACCAGTAGCCATAACAAATGATTTCAATTAAAATCTTGTCCTCTGAGCGCTAATGAACTTGACAGACTACATCTGAAGTGGAAGATTTCCATGTCTCTCTTGTGTAAATCCTGCTAACCTCTGGCTATCTTGCTTTGATTCTTTAATTTCGTAGCTGTTAGCTGGCATCTACTTTCCTAACTGCATTAGCGTGGCTGAGCTGTGGTTCAGATGTGCAGCTTGTAGAGGCTGCCTTTGTCGAACGCTCATCCTAAAGGAACCTTTTCAAATCCAGTGGATGAGAACTACCGAGAGGCTGGGTTGCTCGGGAGTCTGCTTTCTGAGCCAAACAACATAGAAACTCATATTTGTTTCATGTTGTCAGCACAACAGTGAGTAATGCTGAACTTATAAAAAGTGTGTATCTGGAACCACGTTCTCCTCCCGGGAAGTCAATCCCTGTTTATACACAGCAGTCGAAAGTGCAGATACTTGGAGTCTATCTTGTGTTTGTGTGGTCTGGAAAATACTTTTGTGCTATTTCTAGTGATGTGTTTTTCTTCTTCCTTTCCAAGGAATTAGGATATGTTCTGCTTGGTCATCACAGCACTATGCAGTTTGGTGTTAAGCCGAGAGTTTCTTTAACGACTAAAGGTGCTGTAAACAAGGACAAGTAGACAGCTAGCTTGCAGTTTCTGAAGAAATCTGTTCCTTTTGGTTATAAATGACAAAATAGGCTCCTACCTGGAAGGAAGTGAAATAAACCTAAAATTAGATGGGGGAAGCTATCGATTGTTGGGCATGTTTACATGCCTCCTTTTTATCAGCTTCCTCAGTTCCCTTGAGAAGCCAGAATGTAGATGTGAAAAAGAATAAATGGAGAAAACAAAACCAGAAGGCTGGTATAAACTGCACAGCTGCAGAACAGCTCAGCCACTCCGTTGGGTGAGCAGAGAAAAAACAGCAGAGGGGGAAAAAAAAACCCGTCTCTTGCCTTTCTTCTAAGAAAAATCGTATTTTAAATAGCAACATTTTGAACTTGTAGGTTGAAACAGCGTGTTCCGAGTAATACGGTGTACTTTCTTTTTCCTTCGCCCTTTTTTTAGCTTACTTTGGTGCCACACTGAACAGCTTTATCCATGTCCTCATGTACTCCTACTACGGATTGTCTGCTGTTCCAGCAATGCGTCCTTATCTGTGGTGGAAGAAGTACATCACTCAGGGGCAGCTGGTGAGTGACGAGCTCTTCAGTGCTTCAGCAGGCTCTTGTATTAGTGATCCCCGAGACAGAACGTTTTGGCAGGAGGTAGGAGAAGGGAAAATGAAGGCCGGTACCTTCTACATCTTCAAGTCACCTTAGAAATCCAGCTTCTGCACCTCCGTTTGCTCTGTTTTCAGGACGATGGGGAGCTGGAGGCTGATGGTGTACACAAATCAGTCCTGAGATCAGTGGGGTCTTTCTCCACCTCCCCGTGTTGTGTGGCTAGATGTATTTGAGCGTTGCAGCGCTGGGTTTTCTGGGACTCACTAGGCAGGGAGAAGCTTTTCTTCTTCCAAGTTCTTTTCTGTGCTCGGATGCTCAGGCTGATGTTGGGATGACAGACCAGAAGCCAAGTGCAATCCGCAGCTAACAAGGCCCTTCATTCTAGTCCTGCGGGACAATGGCTTTTCTGTCTCACTTTCACATGCAGTTGCAAATGGTTTATTAAAAACTGTTCAATATTTCTGGTCTCCTCCTGCACTTTAAATGGGCAGATTTTTTTCTCTTGTAGTTCTGTGTCGGACTCCTTGCATCCATTTGTATTGTTTCCTGTGTGTACAGTGATGGAGCCCGAATGCTGTGTACTGGAGGTGAAAAAAGCAACAGAACTAAGCATTTTGGCACATGCTGTAGTGATACTGCACGAGGACTGGGTTTCAGTGTATATAACGTCAGAGCACCACAAGGAAACGTGCATGGGTGTTCTGTCTAACCCCACTTCATAGGTGGGGAAACTGAAGCCTAGAGACAGACTGTTTTGTTATCTTCCAACCCCCCCCCCCACCTTAGCACCCTCTCAGAATGTGGGTAGGTTTAATAACATTTGCTGGTGATGGTTAATAACATTTGCTGCCCAGCAATTCAGAGTGTTGACTCTCAAAATATTTTATTGTTTTAACACCCTTCCTTCCTGAAAAATGGCTAAGTATTGTAGCAGTGGGGATCATTGTTTTGGGGGTTGCTTTGTAATTTGTTGTTTTGTTGGGTTTTTTTTTTTTCCCTTCCAGATTTAAGCTCTATTCTTCAGCCTGGTTGTTTGAGTGCTACAGAGTGCAAGTGTCTGGGTGCTTCGGTTGCTCCCCTGGCTATTGTCATAGCTGCTTTCACTTCCCTGCCTGCTCTGCATGCGTAGCTGTTAGGGCAGCAAAATAGCAGAGCAGAGCACAACAGCCTTTCCCTTTTTAAATAAACATTCCCTAATCTGGTAGCCTTCGTGTAAGGATGAATTTTGCCTAAGGCCCTCTGCAGTGCTTAAGCCCAAACTCTGTTTTTCCAAAAGAGATAATAGAAGATAATTAAAACCCGGTCCTCCTCCCTGCCTCCCCAGCTTCCCTGCAGCCTTTACCCCAAAAATTCTTACACTGAAGCCATATGTCAGGCAGTCCCTCTCTGTGGGGAGAGGATCTGTCTGTAGACCCAGTGACCCCCCACTCTTTTGCAGTTGAAGCAGTGAGATGCAGACCTTCTCTGTTAGGATGGTAGAGTCAAACCCCAATGAACTCTTACTAGGAAGAAGGTGGTCTTTATTCCTCAGAATATTTATAAATCAATTCTGCACAAGTTACTCTGATGCTCTAAAATGGAACAACATTAATCAAATAAAACCACTTAAAATCAGAATGTCTGCTGACTCAGGTTTACACTGTTTGTAAGACAGAGAAGATAAACTTGTTGGACACGCAGTATGACATTTTTTTTTACTTGTTTTGAAATAACTAATGAGATTTTGGTCACTAATGGCTTTTTTCGTTTTGCATTGATGGGCTCCATTTCTCTCTTTTTCTTTCTCCTCAGACTCAGTTTGTCCTGACAATCTTCCAGACCAGCTGTGGTGTTGTTTGGCCATGTGCGTTTCCTCAGGGGTGGCTGTATTTCCAGATTTCTTATATGATTTCTTTGATTATCCTCTTCACAAATTTCTATATTCAGGTAAAAGTAATATTGATCGACTTCTGTATCTCATTGGAAAGCTGTTTACAGAAAGATATGCTTGGAATATCCTTGTGCTATCTTCCGGTAACACACATACATTGTTAAGGCACTGTACTTGTTGGTCTGCCCTCCAGTTTCAAATCTTCCAATGTTTTGTATCCATAATTCAGAACAATTAGTAATTTCAGTAAGCAGAGTGGCTCAAAAAGGCATTTTACTAATGCAGTTTTAACTGCGGATAAGGGAGAGGAAGAGCTTTATGTAAGAAACAGCTTTCCAGTCTGAAACAAAACAGCAGCCTGTGATCCTGTGAAGCACCTGAAGGAATTGTTCATTACAAGGGGAAATTCTTGGTTTATATCCAGGGAAACTTCCCAAACACAGAGAAATCTGGGTTTGACTCGCCTTTGCAGGCATTTGTTTGTATTTCCATATGGAAAATTAGGGGTTTGAGTTGTGCTTCTACAAAATTGATTTCGTGTCAGAACAGATCCAGATGTGGTATGTGCTGTTCTGAGGAGTTCATAATTGGGCTCTGGGTAAAGATGTACCCATCTTCAGAAAATCAAACCAACTCAGCCTGCTGCCCCCAAACGAGCAAACTCTGTTCTGTATTTTAAATGTCTCTTGAAAGAGTGGAGCATTTTGGGTCTGGTAGGAGTGATTTATGGAGAGAAACATAGCAGGCTTCCCTTTCTGATCTTAGAATCATGGAATCACAGAATGGTTTGGGTTGGAAGGGACCTTAAAGACCATCTAGTTCCACAGCCCCTGCCATGGGCAGGGACACCTTCCACTAGACCAGGTTGCTCAAAGCCTCATCCAGCCTGGCCTTGAACACTTCCAGGGATGGGGCATCCACAGCTTCTCTGGGCAACCTCTTCCAGTGCCTCACCACCCTCTCCGGGAAGAATTTCTTCCTGATATCTAATCTAAACCTCCCCACTTTCAATTTAACCCCATTTCCCCTTGTCCTGTCACTACAGGCCCTTGTAAAAAGACTTTTTTTTACCAGGTTCCTTGTAGGCCCCAGCTTCCTTGTAGGCCCCCTTCAGGTACTGGATCTGAAGTATCTTCCAGTACTTCTTAAAATCAGTCCTGTGGTTTATACCACTTGCTACATATGAATGTGCTAATTAAACATGATAGCATATTCCAAATATTGCTTGACATTCTTCCTCAATTTTACCCACATTTTAAACTTGTAACCATTCAACTTTCTTTCACACACACACACACATTTTGGGAAATGCACTCTTTTCAGGCGACTGAGCCCCTTTGACTAACTCATGTATATTTTTTCACTGTCTGTAAGTTGGTGTTTTTCTTGGTGTCCTGAACCTTCCTGATCCTGTTAGCTTTTGCTTCCCCTGTTGGCCAGTGCAAATTCCTTTCCCATTTCTGTCTGTGAACGTCCCTCACTGTTCTTTGTTATCCACTTCTGGCTTTGTTTCAGATAGTCACCTGCAGTGCTTCAAACCTCCTTCCTCACTGGTCACTTTGAGTATATTTTTCTGCCATAGTCTGCTCATAAAATCGCTTCCCTTGTTTCTGATTTACTGTTAACGTAACACTACCAATGCTGCTGTCTTACGACCGAGCCCTTTTCTTTCACAGTGAGCTAATTCTCTTGCTGTGGCAAATGAAAGGCATAAATAAAAAACGGTAGAGCTTGTTAGACACTGCCACCGGCGTCTTCAAAAATGATGGATGCAAGTTTACTTTGGAGTTTCTTAAGTTACTGTGAGGAAGACGTTAGTTGTGTCTCAGCAAAACCATGTGTCTTTCCGTACATTCTAGACTTACAACAAGAAGGCATCCTCGAGGAGGAAAGAGTATCTGAACGGCTCTACGGCCACTGTGAATGGGTACACAAACAGCTTTTCTTCCCTTGAGAACAATGTGAAACAAAGGAAACAAAGGAAGGATTGAAGACCAAACTGAAAAACCATTTTGATAACCCCAACAACGAAATCATCTGATTGTAAGCACAATAAGAGTTGTGCACTAATACTCTAATGGCTACTGTAACTATTCCTGCCTAGAATAGTGTGATTTATGTAGGACTTAACCAGTGCAAACACCCTAGAAACTGTATACAGAACATAAAAGTAGGTTGAAGTTTTAAAATAATTCTGGGCTGTCACTGACCCCGCTATAGACTGTGGGAGGGAGTATTATCGTAGTATCTGACACTGCTGTTGCCTTACTAGTCAATAAGATAGGTGCTGAATTATGAGTCACAATTTGAAAACACTGTAATCTAAACCTCCATTTTTTTTACTGTAGATCATGCATGTGATTGTAGAGGTAATTTGTACGATGCTGGTTTCAGTAGATAAACACACATGCCTTAAATTAAAAAGCAGGGCCCAAAGCTTATTACTGGTTTAAAAATTGGGTTATGTTTCAACTTTTCCGTTGACTGACTTTTTATGAAGAAGTCATTTAGAAGAATCCATTGATCATTTTACTGTCCTGTGTGTGATACACGGTGTTACGTATCTCTTACGCGATACAGTGGAATCGGAAATGGCGGGTTTAGTTTTGTATATTTGGCTTTAACTGACTAAACAGTCACGAACCAGATGGAAAAGTTATTTTACCTTTTTAATAGATCTTATTTTTTTATTTGAAGTATGTCACTAATGTACAATTAATTGGCGCTTACACAGTCCAGTAAGACTTAAATATTGTCTCTAGGTTTGGAGTATATACAGGGTGGACCCATCTTTTCTATTTTTTTTTTCTTTTTTCCTTATTTCTGAGAATAATGCTAAATGAAGAGTGGTTTTTAATATGGAAACTGGCAGAATTTCAAGTATTATTACCATAGCCATATCCACATTTTGGGAGCTACTGTTTAAGCCTGTGACTTGTCCGGAAGTGTATTTAAAAAAAGAAGACAGAAAGATGCTTTTCTGACAGAATTGTCTGTATTTAAGTTGGTATCTGTACTGTTCTTCATGCAGCAGCATATGTTCTTATTTAAAACATGCCTAACACAAATGTGGTTTTTTTTCCCAAACAAGCAAAATGAAGCAGTCATAAGTCATACCTAAAGTTTTTTAAATGTTACTGAAATGTGCTGGAAATGTCTGTTTCTGTAATGTGAGTTTGTGTGTATCATCGGTAACGTTTTGGATTGTTATCTGAGGATTTGGTTTGAGTGCTTGTTAAAGTTGCTCCTTGTAAAATCTTGCCTTGCACACATGAGGAGTCCGTTGCAAAGCCACTACCTGTTGCTGGAATTCTGGAGTCTGCCGTGGTGGAGTTTGGCTTATGAGTATTTTATTCACTAAGCTCTGAAAAACTCAGTTGTGCAAGACACTCCGCTGGTCATTGCTCGAGTTTAACTGTTTGGGTTTTGATATTTATATAAATGCCAGTTTTGACATGTTACTTTTTTTTTTTAATTAAATCTTTTTAAAACTTTTTGCACATCTCTTAGGGAATTAATAAGTTCTCCTACTAGCCTTGTGGGTTTTCATTCCTTGATTTGAAGGAGACAGTGTCTGTTATGTTTACATTATCAAAGCTTGTGCGTGTCTTCATTTCTAGGTACTGGTTTGCAGAGTCTTTACATAGCTCAGTACAGCAGCTATAATGTTCAAAATAGGCTGTCTAAATGTGCTAGAAATAAACCCTTGGCTCATCTGAATATACCCACATTGTTAATGTTTGACATGGTTTAATCATTAAAACACTTTTGATGATCTCTGCCTGCATTCTGGTGGGTTTGTACAGATTTAACGCATGGCCCCATCCTGTGTCAGGCCAAGGAGGAGCCGTTGTGGTGGGAAGGACAGCTTCAGATACTCGGAGAAATTTAGCGTAGCAGAGATTTGGTATTGGTGACAAATTCCTCACAGAAACCTTTGGCTGAACGCTGTTCCATTGCCTGGCTGTAGAAATCCTTGATGGATTAAACCTCCCGCTGGGATTACTGACTCACTGAATGCAGAGCAGCCCAAATGGCTCCGAGACGATGAGTGCCAAGAGCAAAGCGTAACATGGCCGAGAGAGACTTTCTGCCTCTGATATCCCATCTATAAATGGGAATAGTACCTCTCTCCAGAATGGGAGTAGTTTTGCCATTTCCTTATAGCTCCCCTTGTCCTTCAGTGATCATTTCTGAGCCCTCTCTGATCTGTTTAATTCGTGTGTTGCAATAAGCCCAGATAGCTTGGTGATGGACCTAGTGAAGACGGAACTACTTATGGAGCCGTCTGTCTTCTCACTCGCAGGCTCTTAAAACAAGAAACCTAGGCCAGGGAGATGGACTTGTGTGAAAGGCTCAGAGGTTTCATGCTGTGCTGGTCTCCTCTGGGAGGGAGCTCCACATGCTTGAGGTGGTTGCACAGTTTCCTGCACATGCAAATGCAACTTTGAAATCGTTTTCCTAAGCAGGGTTCAGTTCTTTGGATGATAAACCAAACCTACAGGGAGTACCTTGAAGGCAGAAGCCACAGCACCAACCTGGCCTTCCCCGGTGAGCCGGCGGAGACTGAGCTGCTGCCCTCCAAACGTAGCCTTCAAGGGCAGTGGCACACGGTGACGAATTGTCATGGCTTGCCACCACATAGACCCAGTGACTTTGTCCAAACCTGGCTGGAGATGCGGTCTTGGGAAGATGTACGGCATCGGTAGTGTGGGTAGAGGACTGTGGCTCCTGGGTACTCTAGTTCTACAGTCTCAGCAGCGACTGAAAAGTGTCTGAGAGTTGACGGAACAAGGCAGGAGCCTTGGATCTGCCTACCTGGCTTGGCTTACGCAACCTAGGGCAAGTAACAGCCTTTGCATTGCCTCAGTTCCCCAGTCACCTGCAGTGTTCCTAATAGATAGAACTGATGATTGGTGCTTGGGACTATAAAAGAGTCCTACGAAAGGACTTTTTGAGCTGTGAAGGCTGGAGAGAAGAAAAAAGGCTGACTGCTGCCCGTGGGGTGGAGAGGTTTCATGTAAAGTTGGCTGAGAGGAATGAAACCATTTCGGTACCTGTTGGCAAAGAGTGAATGACCAAGCTTCAGACTTTTACATTAAGGTCTTGCATGGCTCATGAGCTGACCAGATCCATCCCTGTACTCGGGCCTTACAGCCTGAGTGACAGAGGGGGAGGTGAATACTTGCGTTGAACCGTGCGGGGGATAGGCAGGCTCAAATGCCCAGAATATTAACTTCTTAGGGAAGTCCTGGTGTGAAGACGCAAGTGCTGTCTGATGGACGTGCGAGCCACCACCCATGGGGCTGGGGACACTCAGGCTCTGGGATTCCTGTTGGGAGAAGGTAGTGGAAAATCAGAGAATCGATTCTGGAAATCTGTGAAATCCTTGTGGTTGGTTGTGTATTTTACATAATGCAAGGCAGATATTAAGCAAGTGCTGGGGCTTCTGACAGGACTTGTGCCACCAAAGTTGGGGCAAAGAAACGCCCAAAACTAATGGAGAGCTGTTCTGGAGGTTGCCTCTACTTTTGATATTTGGCAGCATAAATTGATAGACATGTGTGGGTGTTTTATGAGACTTCAAGGTGTGTTGTTAAAAGGTATGCATTATTCAAAAAAGAGATGTAAAAGTAAGCTAGACTTTGAAGAAAATTATAAATACAATCAGAAGCCAAATTGCTTTGATAGTGTGGGTTCTGCTGGAAATCCCCTTGAAGCAGTGCAGGGCGTGATGAAAATATGGATAGAGATCTTGTGTTAGAGAAACGCTGCTGAGAGTCGTGTTGGTGTCACTGTCATCCTCTTGCCAAGAATGACTGAACCAACAAAGGTGACTAGCTGTAATCATCAGGATGTTGCAAGAACTGGTTTAAAAAACAAACGTGAGTTTGATTTTCCATTTCAGTATGTTTAATTTAAGTAGATGGATAACAAAACAAGATGTTTCTCAGTTTAGGGGCGTTAGAGTCCTCAGGGGCTCCCATGACTTGACAGCAGCAGAGGCACTATATTTTAAGTCAAAGGTGCTAAAATCATCTCAAACAAAAAGGTGGAAAATGAGTAACAAAGGCCACGTTAAAAAAAAGTAAGTCTGTTTTGCTCAAGTCAGTCAAGCTGGGAGGTGAAGAAGGAGGAAAAAGAGTTACATGTCTTGTGTTTCAAGGGTATATAATGTAGATGCTGTATTTTCTACACGAAGGATGTAAAAAGGTACCTGGTAACTAGTAGGCTTGACAGTCTGATTTCAGTATGATGAAAGGTCTCAGAATTAGTAGGAAGAATGGTTGAGGACAAGGAAGTAAACAAAAAATGTGAGAAAACATAACACAGCTTTTCTGGAAGTGATCACACCTGACCTACCCATATTGTTTAACAAAAAACACTGTGTAGAGAAAGGAAATACGTCTTCATCCACCTGGAATAGGTACTATTTTTTCACCTCTGAAATGATTGCCTAATCTAGAGGGTGTGGTGACCAGGAACAGGATCTATGGACAAGCAGGGGTCAAGCTGATGAGAAGATGGTTTGTCCCAATGCTTTCAGTCTGAATGGAGCCCATTAATCATGGTTTTAGTAATGACCTGGGTATAAAAAGTAGGGATATTTGCAGTGATGTTTGCAGATGACAACATGAGGAAGCGCTGTCAGTGCCAAGGAAGATTACACATTCCGCAGCAACAACCAAGTGACCTTGATGGCTGGAGTGAGAGAGATGGGATTAGTGTAAATTCCACTTAGGGACCAGTTTCAGAATTTCAGCTGTTTCCATGGGAGTTGTAGTTGGAAATGACTGAAGAGGGGAGAAGATGTCTGTGAATCATCTGTTCAATAAATTAAGAGCTGCAACTATGAAAAGAGAGAGGGGGAAAAAATCTTATTTGCTAATCAGTCTGGTTTTAGTAGAAAGAAGAATGTGCTAGAGCAGGAAGGTGCAGCTGATGCTCTGGTGGGACTTCCTTTTGATGAACACATGTTTTTCCCCCCGCTGTGTTCACCTGCTCTCAAGAAAACTGATTGTAAAAGATGAGCTATGCAGAGTTACTAGGATGGTCAGAGAAGTAGAGAAGTCTTGCTAAACAGGTGTATAGCTAGACCAAGGTTGAGAGGGAGTGTAATCACAGCTAACACAGGCATTGTGACAGTAGACAGCATGAAGGAAAACAAGCGATTTTAATTATGTTGACACAAATGGGTATAAGCTAGTCAAGAGTAAACTTTGGCTAGAAATTGGAAGAGGGCCTTCCTTAGTGGAACATGGCTCTGGAGCGGTTTTCCCATGAGAGTAGCACGGAGGTCTGGGGGATTGCTTGAAGACAGGGCACTGGCCACTTCTGAAGTTTGTAGGACCAGGGGATGGGACTCCCTGGTGTCCCACCCTGCGTTCTAGCAAAAAGCAGCTGCTGGTTCCTCTAGGAGAGTATATTTAAAGAAGGGCAAAACAGTGCCCAGCAGAGAGGGGAGTGAGGACAAAAGTGTGAGAAACAACCCTGCAGACACTAAGGGGAGAGAGGAAGGAGGTGCTCCAGGTGCTGGAGCAGATTCCCCTGCAGCCCATGGAAGGACCACACCAGAGCAGATATCCACGCTGCAGTCCATGGAAGGACCACACCAGAGCAGATATCCATGCTGCAGCCCATGGAAGGACCGCATGGTGGAGCAAGTGGACATTCCCTGAAGGAACTGCAGCTTGTGGAGAGCCCACGCTGGAGCAAGCTGATCCTTAGGGAATGCAGAATTGGAAGGACTGATGTTGGAGCACGAGGAGGAAGGAGCAGCAGAGAGGAGCTGTTCTGGACTTACCACAACCTCCCCACACACCACTTGGAGCAGGGAGGAGGTAGAGGGGATGATCCTTGGAAGAAGGAGGTATGGAGAAGGTGCTTTAGTTTTTGTCTTATTTTCTCTCCATTGAATTCTAAGTGGTAATAAATCAAATTATTTTTTCCCAAATCTGTTTTGCTCATCATTATTACTGATGAGTGACATGCCTGTCTGTCTCAACCTACAACCTTTTCATCTTACTTCTCCCCACAGTTGTGTTGAGGAGTGGGAGAGAGCAGCTGGATGGGCATCTGGCCACAGTCACCCCACCCTGCCTGGGCACTTTTTCTCCTCATCAATCCAGCATTTTGGGCAGAAAGCAGCTTCCTCAATTCTAAGGAAGATGTATCAAAGGCCGTGAGGTAACATGGCACCAGAATCACAGCCTAAAGGGAATCGGCCCTCATAGTGCAGCCGGAGATCCTGTAGTCTGGGAAAACGTGCTCCCTGGAGTGAAACAATTGTTTGGGTTTTTTTTCCCACCTTGTTTCTTCCAAGGCTAATCTGTGTTAAAGCAACACCTTTTCCAGAAATCTGGGCCATAATTCTTGGGAAGTTTTTGAAGGCAGTGGAGAAACCTCCAGTTTGCCGAGGGAAGGTACTGCAGTGGCACTACGTGTGGAGGAAGCCTGTGGTCGGCAGAACGGTCCTACGTATCCTTGTGAGAGGAATTGCCTCACACCCGTCAGAGGCAGATGTAACTCCGGCTTTTCAAATAGGGATGGTCCGGCTCTGTGACAGCAAGAAGCACAAAATCATTCTGCTTGCATTTCATCTGGTAACCGGTAAAGCTTAAAGGGAACTGCTTCTGTTGACAGAAAAATGCAATCCTGTATGAGTTGTGTCCAGCTGTGCATTTGCTGCTCCTGAGCTGGTGCAGTGGGGAATGCACAGCCCATATGTCACAATTCCACTATTACTCCTTAGAGTTGTCTAAGTGGATATTCAGAGTGTTCCCTT